CTTTTTTGACAGTTTCGAGCTCCCTCTCGAGCTGGGTGAGTAACTGCGAGTGCTCGGCTTTGAGGAGCTCGAGGTCCTCTTGCTGGCTCGAGACGAGGGTTTCGCTCTGGGATTGGAGCTCCATGACCCGTTCCTGCGTGGCGGCGAGCTCGGCCTCGGTGCGTTTCCGAAATGCCGAGTACTCCGAGTCGAGCTTTGCGAGGCGCTGCTGCTCCTGAAGCAGGCGGCGGTTCTCGTCTTGTAGAGTGGACAGTTCCTTTTGAGTCGCCGCCCGCTCTATCTCTTTGCGCAGTTTGGCCGCCGAATTCTCCACAACCAGAGACTCCAGACGGCGTTCCTTCTCGCGGAGCTCGGTGTTCTCGAGCCGAAGAGTGGCAAGCTGTTCCTGCACGGCGGCCAACTCTTGTTCAGGGGTTTTAACGGGCGCTGTGTTCCTTGCAGTGAAGCCAGGAGGGGCGTCGGCGTGTTGCTGCTGAGCGCCATTGGTTGTCGACTGCGAGCTCTGGGTACTGATATTTGCAACCCCGAAGCCAGCAGCTTGCGACGCCAACGTCGCCTGCCAGTTGGTGGCCTGCCAACTCCTTGTGTTGAACGTAGGGACTGGGGCTTTGACAGGAGCAGGCGTTGGCCGAACCGGTGCTGGAGCCCAAGCGTATGCGGCCTTCGCCCGTTCAATGATCGGTACCCATTCACGTACCGCTCTCTCCATTTGGGACCGGTTCATGTGATGGTCTCTGCACAAGCAAACCTTCGCAAGATCTAGGAGTTCCTCGGTCGTGACGCTCGATGGAGGCTTCGCGGCCATGTCCTGAAGATAGACGCCGGCTTGTCTAACGTCGGCCATCTCCTCGCTTCTGCCCCCTTTTGTCCACCCGCACCGTGGACCGGTCCCGTGATTTTTGCCAGAGCACTGCAATCCAGTTGTCCCATACCTGGAACTCCCTCTTATACTCAGAAGCTTTTCGGGATCCCACAAAGCCGCCATAATCGAATTGCCGTGGTTGAATCTTGCCTCGTGAGAAGTATCAAGTAAGGCCCTGCAGGGATGCGAGCAGAATACCTAGTAATGAGACATGAGGAGATGGAGCGAGGCCCACCGTCTCAGCTTGCGTCCACGCGGGGTTTATACACGCACTACGTTATCTTGGGGATCTGAGAACTAACCATGTTTGAACCATGCAATGCCACGCAGTTCCACGCGCCAATATTTCAGCCTGCATGCCTGCTCTTCAGCTTTCCCTTTTTGAGAGCCGGGTATTGGGCACTTCCGTCCTGGCACCCAGTCAAGCTCGCCAAAAAACGCCACATCTGCACTGGGATGAGTGATGGGGGGAAGGCTCTCGCTTTCTGCTGCAATGGTGCGGCACATTCCAAGGCTTTCCTCGCGGCTATTGAGGAATCCAAGGCTTTTTTTGCTCCTCGCATCAGCCCCGCCATGACGAACGGGTACACATCGTCGGTGGCCCTTATCAGCCCCGACAGTATACAGGCCAGGGTCAGTTTGAAGCCCGCTGACATTCAGTTTTCTTTGGACTGAACGGTGCAACCCCCAAGGCACTAAATACACTCACCTCTGTGGATGCAGACTGACTAAGCCTGAGCCAAAAAAGCCGCCCTCAATCGATAGTTCAACAGATGGCGCTGGCACAGAGCAAAAGAGGGAAGGGAGAGGACGCTAAGCATAGTTTGAGTCCGCTTGAAGACGATTAACGGTTGGATACAGCGGGCCATAAAGCCCAGTTCGTGTTATATAGTTACCCCTGAAAGAATCTATGTACAATGTGGCACATTGAATGTGCCACGGAGAACCCATCTCATAGACACTACAAACACTCGAACTTTTGTTCTGTCTACATAACCACTCTAATCCAGCTCTTCACCCGCCAGTTTGATCCAGTCGCCACCCCCTAGAGCTGAACAGTCGAGTCAATATCGCCCCAGCGAATGTTGGACAGCACCACCTGCGAATCGGGGTGGTTCGCCAGGATGTTGGCCGGGTCGCCCTCCGTCTCGTTGCACGGGCCGTTGTCGCCGCTATCCAGCCAGTTCATGAAGCCCGAGGCATCGTTCCAGATGCTCATGGCCAGGACCATGCCGCGGCCCAGCGCCTCGCCCATACCGACCAGGCCGCCGTACGCGTCGGACGACGAGCAGCCCTCGACGGTGATGCTGTCGCCGCCGGACACGGCGCTGGCGACCTTCTGGCCGTTCTGCACGTAGGAGCGCACGATCTGGCTGAGCTTGCCCGAGCTGGTGCCGTCGTCAGTGATGAACTGCGTCACCATGGTGAAGGGCTTGGACGTGTCGAGCGTGCCCCCGGGCGCCCAGTAGTTCTTGTTGCCGCGCGCGTACGAGTTGAAGCCGCACCCGCCCTTGTCGCAGTTGTCGCCGATGCAGGGGTGCGGAGTGAAGGCTTCAGCCTTGGAGTTGGCCTCCAGGATGTCCATCTCGTTGCAGCACGAGCCCTGGTGGGAGGTATTGAGCGTGCCGTTGTTCCAGGTCTGGACGGGGCACTGTGCGTCGCAGTAGCCCGAGCCGTACTTGGCGCCGCCGGTGTTGTGCTCGTTCCGCCCGCCGGTCTTGTCCATCTCGGAGAAGTAGAGCGCTGCGTTCTCGCCGCAGGGGAGCGTGGAGACGTCGACGTCGAAGCTCAGTTCCTGGTTGAGGAGCTTGAACATGACGTAGTCGCCGTCGGCGCCGAGGAGGTAGGCGCGGGGGGAAACGCTGTTGGTCTTGCCCTCGCTGTCCTTGACGAATTGCCTCAGCGTGAGGGAGCTGCCGGACGTCTCGATGCCGCTGCTGGTGTAGTCGGTGCCTTCCACGACGCAGTTCTCGGCGCAGGTGGCTGCATCCGGGCACAGGGTCGAGTCGATGCCCGAGGACGTAGTGCACGAGGTGGTGTTGTCCGAGGTGTGGAACCAGCGGTAGTTCCAGTCGAGCACCACCGAGGTGTCTTGCTCGACGCAGCCGCCGCTCTTCGTGCACTGCCAGGTGGGCAGCTTGGGATGGACTTCAGGCGTCACCGAACCGGGCTGCTGTCCATTCACCAATGGCAGGGTTGCCAGCGCCGTGGCGACCAGCCCTTGCAATGTTCTCTGGCCCATGGTTGATCTCAGCTGGGTCTTTGTTGTTCGGAAGGGGTGTGATGGTGAATGAGAAGTAGAGGCGCTACGGCTGAATTTCAAGAAGAGAGAACCGCCTTCATCAGCATCTTATTTATCCTCTGTTAGGTACCTATCATTTCTCCCTCACTCGCGCGCGCGTTGACCACCAGCCGACCGAGGCTATCCCAGCTCACACTGCCGATCATCTTGATTCTCGGGCCGTTCGTCCTGCAATGATACCTCCCCGCTGCCCAGCCTAAACCGACTTGGCATCTCGGAAGAACTCCTTGGCAACCGTTCCCGGTAACTCCGGGCGAAGAGCGGGAGGTGGGCCCCGGAGAGCCAAGTTTATAGGCCCGGCGCCTCATTATTTCACCGACGGCATAGTGAAACTGGGGCGGTAAAGTTGGCCGTGGAGCAAGCAATGCCGGCCAACTGCTAATCCTGCTACTTAAGGCATACCAGGGTAAATTCACGCTGATTCCCTGGGATCATTCCCCCGTTTCGGAACGTACGCGGCCCCGTCCACGGTTCTCGTTGGAGCGGCTGAGCATGCGCTTCATATTAATGGGCCGTGGTACCCAGGCGGTTCGTGGAGATGGTTATGGCTGGTGGAAAGATTCAGGGGTCTTTCCCCGGTTTCTTGATGCTGACCCAACCGCTGCGGCTCCGTTTCGGAAACCTCCCCCGCTGCCCATGCTACAGATCACGGAAAGATCGGCATTGAGCTTGTAATTAGGTGCTCCTTGGGAACCTTGAATGCAAGTTTTTCTTTTGGCTTTTCTTTCAGTCATTCCACCTCACAAGAAAGGCAACCCCGGATGCCTCTTCGCTTTGGATATCCGCGACTCCTGAACTTTAAACGAAGGACCCACGTTCCGGGCATTAAACCCGCCGAACCCTTAAACAGGGCGTAATCTAGGATTTCCTGCGTCATAATTGACTCGTTTCAATACTACTCCCCTTCAGCTGGTCAAGGGCTGCCCGGAGTCTCTGGGCTCCAAGAGCGGTCTGGTTTATACTTGTAGCGCTCCATACCTGTTACGCTCGACGTTTAGTAAAGATTCTCCGAGCTACTGGCACTTGCTCGGTTGGCAGGATTACGGCCGTGGACTGGACCGGCACCTACTCGATGATATCGGTGATTTTTCAAAGCATAGGTGCGGCGATTGCATTGGAATATCTCCAAGTCGGTGTAGGCAAGGCCCCTACCACGTGGCGTCGGCGAGCGCAGCCTTCGCCGGGTGCACATTACAGTATGAGTAGGTGTCACCTGGGTACCCGGGTAGTTAATGGAAACTCCAGCCGATTATGAGAAGCACTCACAGCCTTGGGGAGGGGATGAAGGTCGAGTTTCGTGCTAAAACCCGAGGTCGGGTTCAAAGGCGATATAAAAAGGGGGCAAGGGTATCAAGATCTTGAACGGGTGAGAAGACACAGTGGACAAACTGCTGACTCGTCGTCTCAAAATCACCTCTCTAACTCAGTAGCCATAGATAGATTTAGAAGGTTCTGCACCAACATCTGATATCTCAAATGCAATTCGGGCGACCGTCTCCCTCTATTCAGGGGAAGAACCGCATGCTTATGCGCTCAGCTAGGTCCAAATTGGGTTCCGCAGCAGCGCAGAGAAAATAATGATTCTGTTGTCTTGCTTGCCTGCCTGGGTACCACTTGAACAGGGAAAATCAACGTACTCACGGGTCGTTATATACAGTGGCGCCAACGCAAAAACGGAAAAACCAACAGCCCCCTACCCCTGAGCAGGCCAAGAACGATCAACTCCTCCTGTACTTCACAACTGCGTATGCCCCAGCTCAATATCAAGTCTCGGCTGCACTAAGCTTCTTATGGTAATCTTGAGAGTTGAGATTGGTCAATGGCAGAGCCAACCGCAAAATCGCCACTTAGGGTTTCCTCCTCGCTCAATGCATCCGTGGGTATTATTTATCCCCGGTTGCAATTATTGGCTCGCCCGGTCAGGGTATGGTCCAAAACTTTATCCCAAGGCGCCAGATCTACGCTGCTGTTTACACAAATTTGGCCTACACTTAAATCGGTCAGCACGTTGGCTACATGTAGGTAGTCTGTGACAACTGCCTAAACCACCCTGAAATACTTTGAAGTCCCATCAATCGATTCTTGCTTTTATGATTTTCTTTCCTGGCTTCTTGTCATTATTATCTCGATAATTGCTGGCGGAACAGTAGCAAGCCCTAACGACGTTGATATAATCACCAGTACTTTTTATGTAGGTAGTATTACTTCTTATCAGTCATATCAAACTTGTATTTTATTTTTTATTCGCATTTCACAGCGTGTCCCTCCGTCGAAAGTGCTTGCCATTCATCAGCCCCCTTCTCCCATTTCGGTACCAACCTTCACCATCAACACCGTACCTAGCAAAAAGCAGCTCCCTTCCCCATTCGAGGCCGTTACGGCCATTGTTGATTTCTTGAATCAACCATCCCCTTGAAGGGATGAGTTTCGCCATTTTTCAGTGCTCGTGTACACGACGCCAAGAGCGGGAAGCATTTTCCGAGCATCCATGGGAGCCCACTAACCTTCGTAGATTGGGGAAGCTCAAACGTAATAGTGGTGGGTAGCACAGGTTTGTCCGAGGGCTCCGACAGAGTACTAGTCGTTCTCGGAAATGGGATAGTTGAGTCAAATTTTCAGATTTGACTTAGAGATTGGTCATTGGTATCCATCTTCTCTCGTCCCATGCCCCATGGAGCTTGGCATACGTTATTTCTCTCTGCCACGTTCCAACCACACTCTTTCTCGCCAAAATGTCTAGGGAGGTAGGTACCTAGTTGCTGTGAAGTGCTTTAATCCAAACCACTGACCGGTGTGCCCACATCCGACCAACTCCAACCTACTTTGGGCTGTTGGGTATGCCGTGTAATGCGAGCAAAGAGAAGCGAGCCAAAGCATGGCGAATGCAATTGGGGACTTGAAACCCCCACATTCGACTCGATAATTTGAACTTCTCGGCAATAACCAGACCCCCAACCGCTCCAACTTCAGTTCCGTCTTGAACCTCTCAAAACAAGGCTTCAATATCCACTTTTAGCGCCTTGACTAATCCCATCACAATGCCGAGAATGCCCGCTGGGGAAAAAGTCAACAAGCAAAAGGAACAATCAGATAAGCCTATCTCGGCGTAACCTCACACATGCGCGCCGAGAGAAACCAAGGGGCATGTGGGCCATTCGTATCAGCAACGTACAAGGTCTTGCCTCATCCAGTGCAACACCAGGCTGCCAGGGCCTATTGGGATTCGGGAGGGGCACATGCCGTTGTCGGCAACCAACGCTGCCACAGCTCAACAGGTACCCCCAAAATGAAGTCATCCGACATGACCCTTCCCCGCCAACCTGCTAGTCCACCCAAAAATTTTCACCACTTTTAAGAGAGTTCAAGTTCTCCAGCCTTTATATAAACCCCCTCGTTTTTGGCCAAGTGTGATTTTTCATGCTTTATTTTTTGAAGCTGAAATAATTATCATACAATAATTTCAACAACCTCGCGCTGCTGTTTGTAGACCAGCACCAAGATACCTACCCCACCTACACCAGACGCTCACTGCCCGCATCATGCCCTTCCGCGTCCGCCTCCCTCACCCCAAATGGCCATCACGATGGCCCGTCCCTCGATACCTCTCTGCCATTCCCCTCCCCGCTGCCCAACTTATTGGCCTACTCATCCTCGTTAACGGGATCGTCTGGGTCGCCGCCGGCATCTTGTTGCGTATGACATCCCCAACCCCCTCACCAACCCCTCAACCACATACCCAGAATCAGTCCCCAGACACCTACCTAAGTAACTAACACCACCACAGATTACAACCCCAAGCTCATCTCCCCCGCCGTCCTCTCCTAGTACGTGCTCCCTCCCCCGTTTCCCTGCCCTCCCTAAAGCACTCTCCCCCTCCAACCCCCCTCCCTACTCGCCTCCCCTCCCCTCCCCCCCC